GGACTTTTACACACTCTGAACATACAGACTGGTGGCAAGTTGACCTTGAGAATTGCTATTCTACTTCCCTTGACCATATTCTCACATGATCCAAGATGTATAACTACTTTTACCTGATTGTGCCTGGTTATTTGCTCTTTCCAACCATAGTTATTACTGCACTTTCATTTTTATTCAATTGTTTACTAATTCACCAAGTTGCTCTTCCTTTGGGATCTTTATACATATGTTTTTCACTCAAGAAAATTGTCTAAAATCTAAGGTTGGTTTCTAAGATATTCCCACATCACTCTTTAGTACCCTACTCAGGAGTTATTTCAATCTTTCTGCCCCTCGTATGAGATGACATTTTTATGCAATTGTACCAATGATTTCGGTAGAATGGACTTTCCTGAGTTGTTCTCCATTTACAGAAGGGACGTGACTGGCCATGTTGTAGAAATAGTCGTGAGCAGATGTGGGACTTTAGTTTCATCTCTGCACAATGTTTATAAAGCCTCTCTCCTAGAAGGGCGTTTAGATGTCAACTTTTCAGTTAGGATACAGGCACAGTAAAGGTCCAGTGAGAGGCAGAATCCCTGTCAGAGAATCCCAGTCCTTTCTCTCCCCTGCATTCAGCACCCATGTGAATTGATTAAGAAAAGCTCGTTCAGGAATGACCTAACACAGAAGCTCTGGTGCAGTTCCACTGGAAATTAATCCATGGACTAAAGCTTTGTGAACACGGGCACCAGCACCCTGACCTGTATTGTCTAGCACAGCTTTGTCTCAGTGTCCCCTTCCCCAGGGTCTGTGGCCACTTTGTACAGTGTTGCTGCCACAGTGATGAAAGTGACCCATAAATTTCAAGGTAGCCAATGACTAAAGTTAACAAACTGACTAGCAGGAACATAAACTTACAAAAATCAAGAGAGTCTTAACAATTAACTACCAAAGGAATATTTTAAAACTTTGTTATTTCACTAAATTAACTCCACTTTCCCCCTGTTTATTTACTGGACAGTAGTGAGCTCTGAGCCACTATGTGTGAAGGGAGTGTGATGTGTGTGCGTGTGGGTGGTGGGGCATTGTGTATATGTATGTGTTCATGCATGTGTGTGGCCTTGTGTTTGCATATTTTTTACATATGTGTGCGTTCATCTGAAACGTGGTAAAGTTATTATTAAATATGAATTTATTTGTAAATTTTAATTCCCTTTGTGATCCTTTCCCACTCACCTGACATTGGTCTTTCCTTTTCTTTCAGAGGAGGCTCAGAACAAACTAGGTAAGACTTCTGATATCCCTTTACTCTTGGTCTCCATCACTACATCTGCTTTCTTTCCCACTCTGACATTTCCTGCCTTTTTACCTGTGCCTTCCATTGGCCTTTCCTTCTCCTGATGTCTGCTCTCCCCCCGAACCCCCCGCCACCTCCGGATTTTGGGGACTGGACTGCTCCTATTTTGAATTCTGGCCCTTTGGTTTTCCCTACCTTCCATCCCTTCCTGTTCCTCCTTTTTTCATTTTATACAAAATTATTTCCCTGTAAACATTGGCTGCTGTCTTGCCGAGAATTGACAGTTTCATTAAGAAGTTGGTGAGATGAAGGGTGGTAAGCTCATAGACACATGGCTCCTTTTATATTTATTTCTGGAAAATATCCAAACTTAGTACCTCTGTCAGGTATTCCAAGTTAGAGGTCCCTTTTTAATGCAGCTGATAATTCTCCAAATCCTTAAGAGGCCACAGAAGATTCCAAACTTCAAGTTTCTCTGTCCATTGTTTTTCCAAAGTCTCTGATATAATGAAAATGTTATTCATCGGTCAACTGTGAGTTGCCCTTGCATATATAACCCAGGTGTTCTAAGGACATAGAATTAATATAAAAGTACTTTTTGTAATTTTTCAGGATATAAAAAATACTCAACCGTGCCATTTTTTTATTCTTTTGCATTTACATTGACTCAGTTATCAAATGACAAACTGCACTTTTTAAAAACCATTTGTAGCCCTACCTTTGTAGCTCAGTAGCTAGAGTGCTATCCTGATGCACACAGGTTGCAGGTTTGATTCCCGTGGGTTTGATTTCTCTTTGATAATGAAAATTCCAATCATATTTTTGTTTCCTCGGGAATGGTCTCTAAGAATATGTTTCTTATACCACAGCTCTTTCTATCCACTCATCTGCTGATGGGCAGAGGGACTGTTTCCAGAACGTGACTATTGTAAATAATGCTGCTATGAACATAAGGCTGCATATATTCTTACTGATTGGTGTATTGGGATTCTTAGGATATATTCCCAGGAGTGGGGTTACACAATGGAATATTATGGGGCTGAAAAAGAAGGAAATTTTACCTTTTTTGACAGCATGGAGGGACCTGGAGAGTATATGTTAACTGAAATAAGCCAGTCTGAGAAAGACAAATACCAAATGATCTCACTAATATGTGGAGTCTAATGAACAAAATAAACTTCTGAACAAAATGGAACCAGAAGCATGGTGGCCAGTGTCTGAGAGTGTGGGGTGGAGATGACAGAATAAAGAAGGTGAAAGGATTGGCTAAAGAGCATATGTGCCTACCCCGTGGACACAACAATAGTGTGGTGAAGGCCAAGGGAGTGGGAGGTGGCGGTAGGTTGAGGTGGGCAAAGAGGAGGGATGGGGACATCTGCAATAGTGTCAACATTACAAATTATTAATTTAAAAAGAATATATTTATTTAATGTACTGTGCAAGTTCCATATGATCAGTGCAACAGGTACAGTTTTGAACAGATGGGTGTCTTTCCTATACGCGTCCTTGTACCTGTCTCATGTAGGAATTCATGTTTGCATTTCAATCTGAAACAGGTGATAGTCCACAGACAGAGGAATGATTGGTACTGTGCCTCCCAGAAGGTCTGTCCCAGCTCCCTCATGAGTTTATTTCCTCATTTAGTTCCTTTTGCACAAGGCATGGAGGAGGGAACATGTTGCCTCTGATGGATGAGCTGTCGTTTGGTAACTTTTGCTTGCAATTTTCAGAAGCACGCAATTTTTAACTACAGAGTGAGCCATGAAGAGGGTACCAATTTTATTCTCCTTCCTTCCCCATGTTGTGTTTTTATTTGACATGAGTTGTTTATTTTTCCCTTTTACTTTTCAGCAGACAGTGATAAGAGAAAAGGCAGGTACCAATATCACTCAACTCTCTGAACTCCTGAGTTAAAAAGGCAAAGTGTTGACAAAAGTTAATTTTAAAACTGCTTTCTTTTGACAATTAAGTTATTTTGCAATTTTGTTAAACTCAAAGATTTAAAACCTTTCAACTTGCAAAAAGATTTGTGTCCACATATTATAGTCATGCACTTTCTCAATGATTATAACAACTACTAAAAAGACTTCTAGGATTCACAGATTATCTTTTAATTGTACAAAATAGAGCTCACTGAAAGATGCCTTGCTTAATTTAATATACATGGAAAAAAATGGCCAAATTAAAATACCATTTTATATATACTACCGCTAGGAAAATATTTGGAACAAAACTATTTTATTTCATTAAATAAGTGATGTGGTCCAAACCCTGAATGTTCCCAATACCTCAAGCCACCCATAAAGATATATGTACGGGATACAAGTCTAGGTGTGCTCTCTCTAACATTCTAGCAACATTTTCCTTTTATTTAGTCATTTCAGAAAATTCACTTACTTTTTCTTTCCTAAGGAAAAAGCACTGCTAATTTTTCTGTTTCCATTTGTGTCGTGCTTACTCTTTATTCATATTCACTGCACCAGTTCACTTTGCAGTGGCAATTTTCAACAGTTCTTAATTTTCTGTGGTCATTTCCCTTATATTTACAAAAGTTTTCCATTTTCTTTTTCAGAAGAACTTCACCAACAACTTGGTAACTTTTTCAGTCTGGAATTCCCTTGGAGATGTATTTCTCTGAAAAGATTCTTTTCTTATCCATATCTTAGTCTCTAAATCATTAGGGTGATATACTATTATAATTTAGTAATGGAGTTATTCCATTACATAGAAAGCTTCCTTTAACTTGGGTTCCTCCCCCTGCCGCTCACCTCCATGTGCTCTGAGATGGAGAGCTATTGTTTTATGTTGATGTCCCAATTCTTAATGGAAGGTTTCAAACTCCAAAACTACTGAGTGAGATAGTACCTTCTATGCTGGCCTTCTTCACATTTGTCGAGACCAGTGGTTCTCAACATTCTGGCCCTTTAAATACAGTTCCTCATGCCCTAGCCGGTTTGGCTCACTGGATAAAGCGTAGGCCTGGCAACTGAAGGGTCCCAGGTGTGATTCTGGTCAAGAGCATATACCTTCGTCGCGAGCACATCTGCCGTAGAGGCTGTGCAGGAAGCAGCTGATTGATGCTGCTCTCTCATCGATGTTTCTAACTCTCTATTCCTCTCCCTTCCTCTCTGTAAAAAATTAATAAAATATATTTTAAAAATTAAAATTAAAAAAAATACTGTTTCTCATATTGTGACCCAACCATAAAATTATTTTCCTTGCTATTTCATAACTGTAATGTTGCTACTGTTATGAATCATAATGTAAATATCTGATATGCAGGATGGTCTTAGGCGACCCCTGTGAAAGGGTCCTTCTATCGCCAAAGGGGTCACGACCAACAGGTTGAGAACCGCTGGTCTAAACTCATGTCAAATATAATCTTGAGACTTGCTTCTCTTGACCATATTCTCAAGTTACCCATGGTACATAAATATTTTTGCATGATTTTGCCTGGTTATTTTTCTTAGTTATTACTCCTCTTAATTTTTATTTTTATTCACTTAATTATTAATTCAACAAATTATGTTTCCTTCAGAGTTTTTTATACATGTGTTTTTCACTCAATTTAACATAATTGACAATTTATCTCTAAAGTCTAAAGCCATTTTCTAAGATATTCCTATCCCCTTACAAGAATTCTTTAAATCCTCATGTATTTTTAATTTGTAGGAACGTTTTTTTAGATGGAACAAACATTAGAGATTTCTCTCATTATTTTTGAAATGGGCATTACCTGGCCAATATGCAGACACAAACATTGTTGAATGTATGGCTTTAACTGCATCTTCTTAATGAAGTTGAGGAAACCTGTCTCATATTTGTGTGTTTGTATCTTTTATCTCAGCTGAGAGGAAGGCTCAATTTAAGTCGGGTGAGTAACGCTTCTTCTCAGAAAGCTCCATTTGTTTGTCACTCGGGTCCTGCCCTGATAGCAGTAGGAAAGGAGGCAGAAGTACAACCAAGTGTCTATAGTTGGCAGAGGAGCATTTGAAACATCTTCTTTTTAAATGTCAATAAATTCTCTCTGAACTGCAAACCACACATGATTCTGCATGACCTTTCTCCTCTCCTCTTTCTTCCTTCCTGTCTTCATGTTATGCTCCCTCCTTCCACTCCTCCCTGTGGCTCCCACCTTTTGTTGCTTCTATGTTTCCATCTGTCCTACACCTGAATATTATTATCATGCTTGAAAAAAAGGATATGAATGATAATAGAAGACAGAAGGTGGAAGTTCAAAGGATTCAGAAGAAATGGGACAAAGACAGGGAGAAATGGAAAGACAGTGAGAGAAAACAGGGAAGGAACAAAGCCAAGGCTCCCTGTTTTGGTTTTGGTTTTTTTCTTTTGTAGTTTGGATGAAGGCGCCATTGTATGCTGGTGAGTGACATGGACTGTGATGAAAGAAATCTTATTATCAAAGATTTTTTAGATGAATACTGTCTGTTCAATTCTGAAAATCAAAGAACCCCAAAGTATACATTCCATGAAATCAATATATTATTCAATATTTTAACAGATAAGAATGTATTTAAAACATTACATTTTAGCAGATTTTATTTATTAATTTTATCTCACATTGTCTTAATCATAGGTAGAGTGTTCATCATCTGCTAAAAATTTAGGAAACTAAAGCAAAAAAATAAGTTATTTGGTCAGACTCACCATATGCCCTATTTACTGTCAAACATCCTAAATAGATTATAGATATTTATCTTGTAGGAATGTTGTGTTAGGAGCACAAAAGAATGGGTCAGATCTTCAAGTCAGACATAATTAAGGAGATGGTACAAGAGCCTGTAGTATATTACAGAGTATTATCTTTGGTTGTTTTATCTTTAATTAACCCCAGGGAATTTATACTAATAGAATTCTGGACAGAGAGACAGCGTATCTTTCAAATGGTGGGTCCTGATGTTCATTTGTTCTGTTCCTTTCAGATTGGAGAAAAGAGGAGTTCGAAGCTGGTGGGTCTGTGATGGTCCCGGAGGGACCCTGATCCTTGTGGGGTGACCTTGGGGAAAGATGGGTGGAGGTGAGCTGGGTCTATCCAGGGCCAGAGCAGATCTCACAGAATGGGGACCCTCTGGCCCAGGTAACTGAGACCTTCCTTGAAGACATGGCGGTCCACTTGTCTTTGCAGTAAATGTGACTCTGGATGCAGGCACTGCCCATCCTGCCCTCCTGTGTGAAGATGGGGAACGAGTAACCTGGCGAGAGCCTTGTCAAGATCTACCCCACTCCACACAGAGATTCGACTCCCTTCCCTGTGTGCTGGGTCAGCTGGACCTCACGACAGGGAGATCCTTCTGGGAGGTGGAGGTTGGGAACGCACGTTCCTGGGACCTAGGAATTTGTAGGGTTAATGTCACAAGGAAAGGGAAGGTTACTATGTCTCCACAGAATGGTTTCTGGGCCATCAGGCTCTATGAGGGAGCATACTGGGCCCTCACTTCCCCAGAAACCCCTCTTAGTCTAAAACAAAGACTCCTTAAATTGGGGATATTCCTGGATTATGAGGCTGGAGATGTATCTTTCTATAACATGACAGATGGGTCCCACATATTCAGTTTTCCCAAGAACACGTTCTCTGGTGCCCTAAAACCTCTTTTCAGGCTTTGGTCATCTGACTCAGGCTCCCTAACCATCTGCCCAGGTTAAAGAATAAGAAGAACGTCTGATGATTTACAATTGATATTCCTAATTAACTCTCATAAGAAAGTATTACTTTGGGCCCCAATTATGATATAAACTGATTTTGTCCTTCTTCGTACTGGTTCATGTTCAAAATGAAGCTCTGAGACACTGATGATTTCCCTCATATCAATTCCTCCTTCTTCCTTAGTTAGACTCCTCTCATTATTGCCTTGTCCTAGGACAGCCTAAGACAGTGATGGCGAACCTATTACACGCATGTCAAAGGTGACACGTGAACTCATTTTTTTGGTTGATTTTTCTTTGTTAAATGGAATTTTAATATATAAACTAAATATCAAAAATATAAGTCTTTGTTTTACAATGGTCGCAAATATCAAAAAATTTCTATATGTGACACGGCACCAGAGTTAAGTTAGGGTTTTTCGAAATGCTGACACGCCGAGCTCAAAAGGTTCGCTGTCACTGGCCTAATACAAATGTTAGATTTCCTAAACTCCCCTGCTGCATGTGACTGAATAATGGCCCCTGTATTGTAAGGTGAATTATCCTATATGACTCCTGAAATGTGTCCTTAAGGGAAATTGTGGCCTTTTTTCCTTTATTTTTTGTTGGCTATAATGTTTCATCATGGATGGAACTGAAAACACATCTATAACCATGTACAATGACATGGATGACAGAAAAGACAGAATGAGCTTGGGTATTTGACAACATCATTGAAATACTCTATTGCCCAATTCCAGAATTATTTTCTGTGAGAAATAAACTTGTATATCTTTAAGAAGTTTATATGTTGAATAATTGTCTCTAGTGATTGAATCTGACTGACTGATGAATTCTCCCTTGAAGGATGGTAGCAGATGACATCCACAGTTGAATATTCAAGTAAACCCCGAGGTGTAAAGTCCTGCTCCCGCAGTGTGTCAGTCTCACTGGGGCCTCTCACTTTCTCCTGATCCATCAATCACTCCTGACTTCTCTTACTCCCCTTTTCTCTATTGGTGTCATGGTTCATACTGTCAAGTATTCTATTGCTAATAAATGGAAATCTGGAAGTTGTTGTTCTTCTGTCACATCAGCTTGGAAAAACAATATCAATTAATCTAGTTATCTATTTCTCAGGAAGGCAGCTTACCATGCTACAAAGATCTAAACATACAAGATAGTACAGTCACTATCACAGCATGGACACCAGCACTCTGGTACTCCTCACGTGTATCTCCAACCATTTGCAGTTCCTTAGTTTTGTGGTCAATTTTATTAAAAATTTCACTTTCTTTTAAATTCCACCTCTACTGCCCCCTTTTCTCAATATTGCTGTATGTCCACTGTGAATAATAATAATTAAGGAGGAGGAGATGTCCAAAGGAAATTGTCTCAACTTTGTCAGAGGACATTGTCTCAACTTTGTAATAACTAATATAACAAACCTATTTGAGTCAGCATCTCTCCACTACTCCTCCCTGGCCATTACCTTAAGGGAAGCATCCCTCTTCCTTTAGAGGGATCACCATTCCTTCTTCTCTCCATCCATCCTGTACTATCCTCTCTGGTACTAGAATCCATCAGTTACTCCTCTCAGCCTTTATCATAGCTTTCTTTTCCATTGATATTAAAATTTTTTAAATATTTCTCATCTTAAATTCAAAACTATACAATTTTTCATCAGCTCTGTATTCTCTGAGATATGCTCCTAATTCTCTTTTCATAATCAAACTTTTCAAAATAGTTACCTAGTATACACATAGTCTATTTATATTTCCCTGTTTCCCATTCCCTCCTCAGCATACACTATGATACAGGTTGAATTGTACTCCCCCACTGCAAAATTCAAATTCATGGGTTGAAGTCCTACCTCCAGTGTTCAGAATGTGACATTATTTGGAAGTAGGGTCATCACAGATGTAAGTAATTAATGAGAGGTCATACTGGAGTAGGGTGGATCTGTAATCCAATATGACTGGGTCCTTTTAAAAGTGGGAAATCTGGACACTGACATGCACACAGGGAAACATCATGCCAAGATTGGAGTTTCGCTGCTACAAGTCAGGGAATGTCCCTGGTTGCTGACAAACCATCAGCAGTGAGGAGAGGTATGGGACAGAGCCCTTCCTTCTCCATTCAGAGGTGCTGTGGCCCTGCCAGTACCTTGATCTCAAACTTCTAGTCTCCACAACTGTGAGACAATAGACTTCTGTTGTTTAGGCCTCTCTGTTTGGGGGTGTTTGTTACGGCAGCCCTAGCAAACTAATGGACTATTTTTATCCCAATAATTCCACTGAACTTTTCATCCTAATGCCACCATTCTCACGGGGCCTCAGTGGGTGCAATAGCAGAGATGTGGCCCACATGTGTTTGCTGTATATGCCCAGGTGCCCCTGAAGAGACGGCTTGGAGCTCTGGTATGTTGTGGGACCAACTGAGTGCAGCCCTCAGGCACTGACTGTCAGGCATCAGGCAGTCAAGCTACACACCCACAAAGTGCCATCAATTCTTCTAAAACAGTTTTCTATAGTTCAATCAAAATGTTCCCCAAACAAGATTTGAACCCAACATACTATCCAAGCCTCACCTTCCCGTTTTATGGTTAATCTCCCATGGCTTTTATACGCTTAAGAGACAGAATCTGGGGGGTAAGAGATCAACCAAAGGACTTGTAAGCATGCATATAAGCATAACCAATGGACACAAGACACTGGGGGGTAGGGGAGGCCGGGGGAAGGTCAAGGGGAAAAAATAAAGGAGACATATGTGCTACTCTTTGTAATATTTTAAACATTAAAACAAAATAAAAATAAAAAAGAGACAGAATCTAAGGAGAGGAAGTCTCCTTATAAGTCAGCAGGCTTAAAGCAAAAGCCTACATCCTCCAAAGATAATTTCTTTGGAACTCCTATCAAAACCACTCATCCTTCAAGGCTGGCTTTTTGGGTGAACAGGATTCTAACAAGGAGAAATAAATTTCCACCTCCAGAGCAGTACTGCTCCTTCTCTGTTTTGTCATACAAAACCCCTAATTCATGCTCTATCACAAATGCTGTTCACAGTTGTACAGTAATCTCTTGGGATAGAGAGACCTGGACTATATGCTAATGAGAAAGTAACTGTGTGTTCATACTGAACACCAAACCGTATGCAATGCATCCTGGGACTGCAATGCATCACGGGCCCGTTGACACAGCCTCATTGTTTGCACGTCAGAGAGCCACAGGCCCACTTTAGTGCAGTGTCAGCCTGACCCACATTTCCCAAATGACTTGAGAGTCCGATTTACTATAAATATCACCTCATCGCTTGCTTTGGTACAAGAGACCTGGGTTCAGATCCCAGGACACTTTAAAAGACTCAGCCTTGCCCTGGCCAGTGTGGCTCAGTTGATTGAAGCATTGTCCCAGGCACCCAAAGGTGGCAGGTTCAGTTCATGTCAGGGCACATACCCGGGTTTTGGGTTCGATCCCTAGTTGGGGTCAAGGCATATGGAGTTAGAGCAGCCAATCGATGTTTCTCACTCACATGGATATCTTCACTCTTTTTCCCTCTAAAAAAAAAGAGAAAGAGAGAGAGAAAGAAAGTAAGAAAGAGAGAGAGATCATTAAGTCTAGAGGAATGATTGACTATGAAGCAATGAGGGGAGAGGGGGAATTAAAAAATTATATAAGTTGCCTTTGGCCCTCCCCCTGCCATTTATGATTTTATTTTTATTGTATGTTATTTATTTACTAGAGGCCCGGTGCATGAAATTTGTGCAGGGTTGGGAGGGGGGGGATCCCTCAGCCCCTCCTGCACCCTCTGCAATTTGGGACCCCTACACCTTTTTCTTATGTAGCTGACCTCTTCACAATCTGTATCAAGTATTTTCATAGATATCATTTTTTTTTTCTTTTGCAGCAACTTAGAGTGGATGCAATGTGCTTCTCATTCTTGCATCTGAATTTTTTCTTCTTGCTTTGTAATAGCAATGCTTATCCAATTTACATTTGCCCTTCAAGGGCTTATATTTGGTTCAGTTTTTAGTTGGCTCCCTGCTTTTTTTTAAGCAATAAATTTGGGTTGTGATAGTAAACCTCACTTGTAATCAAGCCTGTAGGTCTCCCTATCTGAATATTTCTATAATACCTATCACTTTAGCATACCACAGATTGTGTTCATTTATAGAAAATAACAATGTGTCACCTGATCATTTGATCTTCTAGTAATATTTTATAGCAAGATGTATTATTCTAGTAATTTAACTATTACAAAACTGAGGCACACAGAAATATGCCACATTGAACAATAAAGAATGACTCAAATATCAGAGCATAGTACACTTAAGTCCTCCCTTGTCCTGTGCCTCGGATATCATAGCATATTACCCAGTTCACATGAAACTCAGCTTCCTTTAAATAGGAAGGGGTGCCATACCCATGAAGCAACTACTTCCACACATTTTTTTATTCAATTCACAGCACATACTCTTTGTACTAATTGTTGGAAAATCATCCTAGTAATTGCCTCTGTTCCTCTCTGTATTGTTGCCTTATGTTCTGATGTTATTACTGCACTTTTATCATCCACTCGCTTTAATAAGATTGTGAATTTTTTAAGGGCAGAGATCATGACTTGAGCTTGTGCGTCTCAGTCATGGTGCCTAGATCAGTGATGGCGAACCTATGACACGCATGTCAGAGGTGACATGCAAACTCATTTTTTTTGTTGATTTTTTTTGTTAAATGGCATTTAAATATATAAAATAAATATCAAAATATAAGTCTTTGTTTTACTATGGTTGCAAATATCAAAAAATTTCTATATGTGACATGGCACCAGAGTTAAGTTAAGGTTTTTCAAAATGCTGACACGCTGAGCTCAAAAGGTTCACCATCACTGGCCTAGATAACTACTTAAATGCCATCCAGTCCCAATGACTGTGATGAGAGAGGCCCACCATTGCTGGAGACCTCTGATTTTTATTTTTATTCACTTGTTCTGTGCCTTTACAAAGGGGTTATAGATTTTGCTAAGCCGGTGCCCGGGACCTGGGGCGACTTCACCGCAGGCACTCAGGCTGGCTTTGTCAGAAGAAAAAAAGATAAGAAAGCATGAGAAAAAGCAAAGAGAAGGAAGAAAAAAAAGTTGACTTGTGGAAAAAATAAAAAAAGGAAAACTGGAGTAGGAAAAGAAAAGAGGAAAATTAGATATATGAACAACAGAGACTAGAATCAATAAAGCAGATAGATAAGGGTTTAAAAAAACTGAAAAAATAAAAG